TCTCCTCTCCTCTCCTCTCCTCTCCTCGTTGCAGACCTTGTAGCCCATGGAGGAGGAGGGGAAGGCTGAATGACCAGAGGACATTCAACAGTACTGGGGACCTGAGAGTCACTCATTTTGCCTTCATTTCTTGCCTTTCCCCAGGAAAGCACGAGAGAGAAAGGAGGAAGATGGACCGACATCCCAACAGCACGATCCATGACTGGCGTTCAGTGTCCCCAGCGCCGACGGAGAGCACGGTCTATGGGGATGGACACAATGGGACCAGGTGCTTTGCAGAACACATCCCTGAAATCGTCACCGGTAGCATCACGCTGCTCATCTGCCTGTGTGGGCTGGTGGGGAACGGGACCATCTTCTGGCTCCTCAGCTTCCGCATCAGGAGGAACCCCTTCACCGCCTACCTCCTGAACCTGGCCATGGCTGACACCTGCTTCCTCCTCTGCACGTCGGCTTTCCTTGTGATATATCATATGCCCATGCTCAACTGCTTTCAGTCAGAGGTTTTGCGGGTGCTGCCGCTCTTTCACTCCATGGTTTTGCTCACCTACAGCACCAGCCTCTATCTCCTCTCGGCCATCAGCGTGGAGAGGTGCGTGGGTGTCCTCTGGCCCTTCTGGTGCCGATGCCACCGCCCGAGGCTCCTGTCAGCCGTGACGTGCAGCCTGCTGTGGGCCCTCGCCTGTGCGCTCGCCGGGCTGGTGTACTTTGTGTGTGACCTGAGTCACTCGGGACACTGCTGGACGGTTCTTGGAACCTTGTGTTTTCTCAATTTCTGCTTTTTCACTCCTTTTATGATTCTTTCCAACGTGATCCTCTTCATCAAGCTTAGGCGTAGCTCTTGGCAACCCCACCCAGTGAGGCTGTACACCGTCATCTTCCTCACTGTTTTCTTCTTCCTCCTCTTTGGCATCCCTCTCAGCGTCCAAATCTTCCTCAACTTCTTCGTGTACATTAATTTTGTCTTTGAGATCTGCCTGTTGCTGGCCTCTTTGAACAGCAGCATCAATCCGGTTATTTACGTCCTGGTTGGGAGCTACGGAAATTCCAGGTTCGGGGGATCTGTCAAAGTGGCTCTTCAGAGGGTCTTTGAAGACAGGGCGGATTCCCAAGAGGTGGGTGAGATCCCTGTGATGGGAATTGCTGCCTAAACCCTCACGGCTGCAGACTGTCACCTGGAGAGGGGCAGCCCTGCCTCTGCACCCCGGGCCAGCACCCATGGGAGCAGAGCCCTTGCTTGGCTGGGTGAGCAGGACTGGCAGTGGGTAGTCGCACATCCCCCAGGGTACGGCCATGCTCCATGAGATTTCCAGGGGCAGGGCTGGTTCCCACCTCAAAATTATTCTTAAGTTCTTTTAATAAAAGTGTCTTTCACATAACTTACTGGTGATCGCAGTTTTTTTTTTCCTTGCTGGCTCCATAGGGTACCCTGGCTTGGGCTCAAAATCACAGTTGTGACAGTCCCCTCCCGCTGCCCACTAGTTTATAAATGATGTGGTCCAGAAAGTCCTGCTTCCTCTGTTCTCCTGTTCTCCAGGGCTAACGCGGCCACGCTCCTGGGCCCCGATCTGTACCTTGTCTGCTTCCCAGCATGGAGAATCCCAACTCTTCCTACTTCTACCCTCTTCTGGGACCTTGGTGTCCAATATGAAAGCACCGACCACTCACTACCTTGATCCTCAAAAGCCCCCAGACCAGAGGAGATGATGGTGGGGGACAGAAATGATGTTTTCATCTCCCTCTGGCTTAATGTCCTGTGCCACAGGCTGACCGAGAAAACCCATCTCAGGCTGGATGATGGAGCTGGCGGCATGGGTCAGCAGCCAAACCTTTACCTTGCCAAGGGGGTTTAGCTGGGGAGGCAGGAAGGGACAGGCAAAGAGGCAAGTGCTGCCGGTGGTCAGAGGTTGGACAGAGGGTGGATGGACGGATGGACAGCTGGGGGCTGATGGCTGTCGGAAAGGGTGATTCTGTGCACCGGGTAGAGAAGCCTACGGAGTAAACCGGCAGGGTAGACCCAAGAAAAGAGACAAAAATAGAGGCTGGGAAGGGTCTCATAGGTGATACCTCGAGGAGGCTGAGCTCTGTCGGTCAGATGGTTTTATTAGCTTTCCTGGCACAGGGAAACAACTGGTACCAGAGCCATAATATTTACAGAACGTACCTTCCTTTGAACAGGTACAAGCCTCACCTCAATACAAACAAACAACTGATGTCTGTAATTCTTGTGTTAGAAACCAAAAGTTTAGGCAAACATGATCAAGATGTTGCCCATGAAAGCAGAAGCTGAGAAACCCTGGGTAATGCTGCTCTTTTGTCGAGCACAGGGATGGATCGGGCAGTGAGCGTGGTGTTGCATGGCACTATGCCGGTATACACGGATGCTTTCCTTATCACAACTTGTTTGCACTTGAAAGGGTTGGCTTGGTGAGGGGATGTGAGATTCTGTAGCTGGGGACACAAAGGCAGCATCAGCGAGGGGGACAGGAGGTGGTTTTGGTCCCAGGGTCCCCACGCTGGCCGGTTCCCAGTGGGAACATCCCTGCTCCCGGGTGCGAGAGGAGATGTTCGCATTTGACCTTCACTGCGGTCAGCCTGGGTAGGAATCATCTCACCTAACTTCAGCTCTCTAGAAATTACGTGGTCCTGTCTGAGGAAACTGTTGTAGGCTGCTGACCGACTACAGAGGGAGTGTAGAAGACAACTCAGATGAAACCCGTAACTTTTAGATGGTTAAAGCCAAGTGAGCAGCACCGATTCACCTCCTTAGGGAAAAAAGATTGTCCTGAAATCCTAAGTCATCTCTCTGCCATCTGCCTGTGCTCCGGTTCATGCACAGATCTTATTATCCAGTTAGCTCCTTGATGCACAGAGCAGCACGTTCTCGGGAACTGTGTGTCGGAAGGTCAAGATCCCTTTGAAATTGCAGTATACAAGGGGCCAACCTAGATCTGAGTCAGAAACAAAAGTTTTGCAGCAACGCCAAGCCTGTAGCGCGGGGTCCTAAAGATAGACGCCTGGAACGATAGGAGAAAAGTTCAACCCCTTCAAAGAAACAAATATTTGGGGATTGAGGTTGCTTTAAAAATGAAATGAAAGAGGAACCTGACATGGAGACAATCTGCTTTTCCCATAGGTCTAGTTTCCGAGACTTTTTTGTTAGTCATTTCCTGTACAAAGCCAAGAATAGATTATAACCAGAACCCTGATAGTGTCAAACGCAATGAAATAGTTCCCTCTTTGCAAGAACCCTTGAGAACACGGTCTGCTTGACTAACACTGACAAGGGTGGTTTGTGAAGGGACTGGAGAAAGACCCTGTGCTGGACGCCGCACAGGCTCACCGAGGCAGGCTTCCGTCCAGTTTTCCAAGTGATAATTCCAGGAAACTTCATGAAGATCCCATCACAAGGGCTGCAGCTGGCAAGTGCGGTGTGAGTCTGCAGCGCATCTGCTCCGGTCAAGTTCTCCAGGCTACAAGAGGAAAGAAGGTCAGACTTTTCTGGGTGGGGGTTTTTTCAGCTTAATCAGTGCCTCCCCTCATTGGTGTTCAACCTACTAGTCAATTTGCACCAAATCTGGTTGGGGAACTATCACAGAATGGTTTGAGATGGACTGGACCTTAAAGACCACCTCGTTCCAACCCCCCTGCCCTGGGCAGGGACACCTTCCACCAGACCAGGTTGCCCAAAGCCCCATCCAACCTGGTCTTGAACACTCCCAGGGATGGGGCATCCACAGCTTCTCTGGGCAACCTCTGCCACTGCCTCACCACCCTCACCGGGAAGAATTTCTTCCTTATATCTCATCTAAATCTTCCCTCTTCCAGTTTAAAGCCACTGCCCCTTGTCCTGTCACTCCATGCCCTTGTGAAAAGTCCCTCCCCAGCTTTCTTGTAGGGAAGGGACTTTTTAGAGGAATAGTGGTCTCTAGGATATTAAGAGCTATAAATATTGTGGAAAAAGGCGGTACGGAAATACTGAAATGTGTCCCCCACTGAAGGAACCCAGCAGCTTAGTAATATCAACTATAATATTAGACTCCTGAGAATCCATATCAGATCCACCCCCAAAACTACTTGCTCTTTGACATCTCCAAGGACAATCCATTCAGCTTATTATCATACTCCTCCAGATCTGCCCTGTCCAAAGCCAGGAAGGAGGCATCTCCCTAGCTTTTGCTCCACCTCTGTACATGCTCTTGCGCCAGGCATGTCATACCCATCTCCCCACATCTTGTCTTCCATCTCTCCTGTCCCTCTTCTCTCTCTGTGCTCCTCCACGTGGAAGCTGGGCCATAGCTGCAAAGATCTGAAAAACTTAGTGTGGGGGACAGCAGAGTTGCTAACACGTCTCTGTTTCATCTCGTCCCTCCAGCTGTTTGAGGGGGAAAGAGAAGCAGCAGAGGTTTTGTCATGACCACATTGTTCCCTGCCATGGAGAGAGCCAGCCCTGCTTGCCAGACCCAGCCGGGTGGCACAGCATACGACAGGAGTTGGCATCACAGGCTGCTGAGGGATGAGGACGCTCATTACAACTGGACCGACTGTGAAGCCGAGCACTTGAGCAAAGTCCCTGTCACGCTGCTCATCTGCCTCTGCGGGCTGGTGGGGAACGGGGCCGTCCTCTGGTTCCTGGGCTCCTGCATCCGCAGGAACCCCATCACCATCTACATCCTAAACCTGGCCGTCACCAACTTCACCTTCCTCCTCTCCATTGCCATTGCCCTTGTGATATTTTACGGCCCAGAGAGCTTTTGTCACAGTCTGGGCTCACGGGACGTGACGACTGTGTTGAACATCACCATCCTCTTCACTTTCACTGCCAGCGTCTACCTCCTGACCGCCTTCAGTGCCACGACGTCTCTGTCTGTCCTTCCCCCATCCCGATGCCCCTGCCACCGCTCCCGGCACTTGCCGGTACTCCTGTGTGCCCTGCTCTGGGCCCTCTCCTTCCTGCTCACCATCACCCTCTACTTCTGCCCTGCGGCACTCATCATCTTCCTCCTGAGCTACCTCTTATCGATGCTTACCCTGATTTTTTCTGGTCTGACACTGCTCACCAGGATCTTGTGCTGCTCATGGCAATATCCTCCAAGGAAGCTCTGTGTTGTGGTCCTGCTAGCTGTCATCTTCTTCCCCTTCTTCACTGCTGATTTTGGCTACTGGCTCTTGCTAAGACTGTTTGATTTTTCTGTTTTTGTCTTTGACACCTCTATCCTCTTCGCCTGCATGAACAGCAGCATCAACCCCGTTATTTACTTCTTGGCCGGGAGCTGTACGACCAAGTTCACACTCTCTGTTCGCGTTGCTTTCCAGAGGGCTTTTGAAGATGTAACAGACCCCCAAAGTAGAGGTGAAACTCCCAGAGAAAACACAGTGGAAACAACTGTTTAAACCTGAGAGAAGATGTTGTAGGGATGGAGGTGTCCCCCTGAGTAGGGCGAGACAAGGACGATGGCTTCGGCACGGGTCTGGCTGCAGTCCAACAACGAAATGTGCCGGGTGGCATGGGAAGTCCTGCCTGGGGTGGGCGCAGGACAGCGTGATGAAACACCCATCCAAAGCTTCTGCTTTGAAACCTCTGCTTCGAATCTGTCCTACTCAACAAGCCTGAGCTTTCCCTGTCTCAAAAGTGAGCTTGCTCTACCCTGGGCACTACTGAAACAGAACAGTGGAGGCTCTTAGCTCCTGCCAGTGGGGTTTTTTTTGGTGTCTCTGCTTAAGAACAGAGTGTGGGTGGTTAAGAAAGCTTGGCACAGCAGAACAGAACAATTCCTGGGCAAACCCTTGTGTGTCCATCTCCAGCGGGCGCTGACACGTGCGAAGAATATGTGGAGACTTCACATTCGGGTTTGTTACCAGGCAAGTGTTTGGGATTGGCCCTGGAAGGCTTTCCCCAAAATGCATTGTTTCTGCTGCAAACTGAGTTTTGTCCACACATCGTGTGAGTCATCTGTACTCAAAGGTTTTTGACTGGAAGTGCCTCTCGTGGTTCATACCACTTTTCTCCGGGCTGTCTGGATGGTTAGCTTGAGTAAATGACATTTCGCAACCATGACCTGAGGTCTGTAACCATTTCTGGCGCGTCTGTTCCTCATCTAGAAAAACAAGAGGAGTAGGATTAAAACAACCCAAAAAGCACAACCCTGCCTGAAGACTCAGTAAAGACTGGATTTGCCACGTGAAAGAGGATGCGGGGAGAAGGAAGGAAAACAGCGGACTTTTTATGGAAAAGACCCTGTTGAGGACTAAATCCCTGTAGCCTGGCTCAGGCGATCCCTGGGCCAAAGGGGCAGCGGCAGCGCCTTCTCCTTCTCTCTCCCCTCCGTGTCTGTCAGCCCATGGTATCAGAGAGCTGGGGGATGAACCAGCTCTTGTTCCCCGTCAACTAAACCACCCACAAACCATTGCTTTTGAGCAGGTTTTGTTTCCTGGTGCAACTCCCCACCAGGCTGCATCAACTTTAGTATGAGCATGAGGGAAAGGTTGAGGAGAGGCAGCTAGCAGGGAGGGGTGGAGGGAGAAAAGGCATCAGCAGAGCAAATCCAGGAGCTACTGATGCTGTGGCCTCTGGGACCTGGGATGGTGACAGAAGTTTCTCTGCCCTTTGGCTTGTCCCAGAGCTACATGTCACCAGACGGGCTGGAATGAAAATCGATCACTTGGCACGTTACAGGTACAGAGCCATGATAACTAAACCCGTAAAACTCTCTGGAAAAACCAAGAAGCTGGGATAGGTGGTGGTCTGGGTGACACTGCGGGCAAAGGAGATCCCGAGAAGCAGGAAAAGCACACGGGAGGATCGTGGTCCTTCTGCACCTGCCTTGGCAGATGCTCCCTGGATGATGGGAGCCCTTTCCTGGACAATAGCTTGTAACTCAGAAAGCTTTTACTTTCCAAAGGACAGGAAAATGGGAGGAGGGAGAAAAAAACCCTCTCAACTGTGGAAGACTCCGGTCCTGTTCTGTAAAACAACTCTGTTAATAAATGCTTCTTAGATGTTTCAATTCATCATGTGTCTTCAAAGCATGACTTACCACCCATGGGTTATACTCTCGCTTCTCTTTCTAAAAGCAGTGGCACGTTACTTACAATTGGGTTTAAGGCACTGGGAAAAGGATGGACAATTTCCCACTGTGTAAAAGAGGCAGGGCCATGGGTGGGTGAATCCAGGCATCCCTGCCACCTGCAAATGTGACGATCTCCCCCATCAGGCTGCGTGCCTCTTCCCCACCTTCCCCAGCAGTCTCCCAGTTGGTGGGATGCTGCGAGGTCCTTTCCTTCTGCCCTTCCACCTCTGCCTGCCTCAGCCGGCTTCAGCCCCCCATGCTACAAGGAGTTGCTCTCCTGGTGTGCTGAGCCATTCCTGAGGAAAGCTTTCGGCACAAGTGGGTAGCTCCACTGCTGTAGTTTGGCTCAACTGGAGGCTTTGTACAGTGAGATACATCTCTGCTAAGTGCAAGCATCCCAGAGAGATGCTGTCTGCTGCCCAGGTCCCTCCCAGAATGAATGAGAAGGTCTTGGCATTGTCAACAGATGGCTCATCCCAACTGTTACAGGATCACAGAACGGTTGGGGTTGGCAGGGCCCTCTGGATATCCTCCAGTCCAACCCCCTGCCAAAGCAGGGTCACCTACAGCAGTTGCACAGGGCCACATCCAGGTGGGTTTTGAACATCTCCGGACCAGGAGACTCCAGAGCATCTCTCGAGACTCCAGAGCCTCTCTGGGCAGCCTGTGCCAGTGCCCTGCCACCCCCACAGTACAGAAGTTCTTCCCCATGTTCAGGTGGAGCTGCCTGAGGTTGATTGTGCCCGTTGCCCCTTAACCTGTCGCTGGGCACCACTGAGAAGAGTCTGGCCCCCTCCTCTTGCCACCTACCCTTAAGGTATTTATAAGCATTGGTGAGATCCCCTCTCAGTCTGCTCTTCTCCAGGCTGAAAGATTGCAGGCACCTGTCTTAGGATGAGGTGCATCATACTCTGGAGGTACCTGTCCTCCTCATAGAGAAGACAGAGAGTTTAGAATGAGCAGAAATGAGCCATTTTCTGACAGAGTTGACTCAGCCTTGCTCTGTTCACCAGGGACACGCTGTGCAGTGAAGCCCAGTTGTTTATTCAACAGACTTTGGGGTCAGAGTTACCATGTTGGAAACAAAAAAAGAAATCCAAATGTAATTTAGGAGTGATGCCTTAGGTAGGTAACTAGAAAACGATCAGTGCAATCCAGATTTTGGAGTGTATGGCTGGTCATTGAAACAGCTGTGCAGAGGAGCTGCTCCTCAGGTTCAGGATGGAGACGGTGAAGGGCTCCTCTTGATGCTGAAGCTGGGGAACCAAAGGATGGCCCCACTCCCAGCCAGCCCGCACAGGCAGAGCAGCGTTGTGATTCTCCTAATTTCTATAAAATCAAGTGGCCCATACATCTGGTTGTGTTAATTTCCACATCTCAGGTTCTTTTTGGTCATGAATACAGTCGTTCAGTGGAGTTACTATGAAATCTTTGCTGCGACCAAAGAGAATACAGGAATTAGTGTCTGTTCTGACTTGCCATGACCATCTGATCGGGCAACCCCTTGCCTTGCTTCGTGGCATGGCTCGGAGCCCTGACCGGCGGTGAGCCGTGCCACAGCAGGTTCCCATCGCAGCCTCTGCAGCTGATGGTTGCCCGCTGCGCTTCTCTCCGGCGTCAGAGAGGTGATGTTTGGCATCAGACATCCTGAGTTGCACTGTGTTATCTCACTCTTCACGTTGAAACATTTCCTTTCCAAAATCGATGCCTTTTCTGGAGACATAGCTCTCCCCATCTCCCCTTCCAAGTTTGGAGGACAGGGTATCATAGCCTTGGCTGAAGTAAGGCAAAAGAGTCTGAAGCCTGCTTTGGGATGCTTTTGTCCCTGTGGACAAAAACTTTTGTGGTGATTTTAAAAAGGGAAACATATCTTTAAATCCTCTCTTGGTTTTCCTGTAGGGACTGATAGGAGCAGGGCTGGAGCAGATTCCCTGCCCCCTCGCAGGGATGCTTAGCGGGCTGTCCGGACCCTCAGAGACCCCAGCAGGGAGGTGACAACCTCCAGGATACGATGTCTCGTCAGCCAGCCGTACCCTGTTGCAACAAGCCGTGTTCCCCCGGAGCACAGCCGGAAAGCAACACCTTGCGCGAACTTCTCGGGACAAACCGGAGCATGGGGAACGCGCCACTCGTAATCCCCTGGCACTATTGAACCCATACTTTTCTCAGGATGATTTAACCCTGCAATTAAGGAGTGTGACAAATTCCCACTTAAAGTGTAAAAGAATGCTCTTGTTTCTTCCCCAGCTCCGCAGCCCTACCCCGATGTTGGTTCGTTTCTCTTCCCATCGGCTGGGAGCGCACGGCCGGCTCTTCC